AATGAAGTTATTTATGGGGAATAGAACAGAGAGTACAATGGAACTGATAAAGGAGCCTGGTATCTTAGGCCTGATCGAGTAGAATCTGTGGGAGAGACAGACACAGGTAAGTGCTCCCTGGGCAATAAGTGACCAAGAAACTGATTGTGAAGCTTTGTGATAAGATAATGTTACCAGGTGAAGTGATGTCATGAAGAATGTGTAACCAATAGGAATTGTTACCAAAAATAGAACCCTATGTAAGTGCCATACAAGTAAAACCCTATATAAATGCCTTTTATACTCAATAAAATTGGCTTCTGATCTCAACTTGGATGTCCCTATCTCTCAATTGCTAATATTATTAAACTATAAGAGACCATCCAAAGGAGGGCAATGAAGATGGTGAATGGACTTCAAGGAAGCCATATGAGGAGCAGCTGAGTTCACCTGGTCTGTTCATCCTGGAAGAGACCGAGGAGATCGCGCTGCAGTTACAACATCCTTGGGAGGGGAAGTGGAGGGCCAGACAGGCCTCTCTTCTCTGTGGTGACCAGTGACATGACCCAAGGAAATGGTCTGGAGTTGTGTCAGGGGTGGTTTGGGATGGATATCAGGAAAAGTTTCTTCCCCCAGAAGGTGGTCAGGCACTGGAACAGGCTCCCCAGGGAAGTGGTCACAGCACCAGCTTGACAGAGCTCAAGAAGCATTTGGACAATGCTCTCAGGCACACAGTGTGACCTTGGGGATGGTGCTGTGCAGAGGCAGGAGTTAGACTCAACGACCTTTGTGAATCTCTTCCAACTCTGCTTATTCTGGGATTATGTTATAACTTAAAGTGAAGAAATAGGTTGCAGCTATATAAAAGAAATAAAGTATCACTCAGGAACATCCTTCAGTACTGGAATTTATTTTCTGTACCAAATAATTCTTAAAATCCTCCCTGCCATGGTTTAGGCCTAGATCAATTAATACTTTGCCTACCAATTCCTGGAGCTAATATGGGTGCCAGATCATTCCCAGTGGGTGGTCTGTGTATGACCATTCTGTTTGGGAGAATAAGAGAGTATAGCAGTAGGGACACAGGCTGTCCCATGATAGTTTGCCTCAGTGCCAGAGCCAAGACTCAAGCACATTTATTTCACTGTTGCAGACAGTGTCACAAATATTTAGGGCACTTTATGTAAAAAAGCTCCTGTTGGTATTAAAGAAAGTTTATTTCTTACTCAAAACTATTTGCAGACTCTCTTCCATCTTGTTTTGCAACCTGACAGCTCATTCTGTAGATCCCCACTGCTATGCAATGTTCCAGGCTCAAAAAGCAAGAGTTGTACTGTTTCTGGAATGACAGTATTTACACAAGGAAGTAATTTTTAAAGTGTATATTTAAAAAATGAAAATTTATTATCTTTTTGACTTGTTAACAGTCAAAATTGTCTTTAAAGCTTAGTGACAGAAAAAAGGTAATCACTACTCTTCCTTTCAAGTAATCTTTAGAAAACTACATGAAAAAAGGAGAAACAAAGTACAATTTTGCAGGGAAAGAAATCTGCCTGAAACCAACTAGACAATGAACCATGCCCAGCAAATGCAACTTTTCTGCCCAGTCCAATAACAGACATATCCGCAGTAGAGAAACATTTACTGGGTTTTAAGATGTCTTTGGAAGTCTCTCTGAATTCTTCCCCTAGATGTAGCCCACATGAGAAAACGGGGTGCTGGGCAGAGAGAAGGAGACAAGTGATCCCTTGGGAGAGATTCTGAGCCACCACTGATTTCCCTGGCCCCTTCCTCTGCTCTGGCTGGATAGCCAACTGTGTCCTTGAGATGTCCTGCAGCAACAGAGACATTCTTCCCCAGAGATCCTGACATTTAAGTTTGCTTTCACCTTCCAAGTAGTTACAGAGAGACTGCAATCTTTGGTCAGCCAAACATAAATTAATACTTACGTATGCATTTCTTTTACAGTGTGTTTTATATATACATTTATATATATTTCACTCTTTTTACTGGAAACAGAGGAATGAAATAACTGTGTTGTTGCTAAGGAACAAATATGCTGGCTTCTAATTTTTTAAAACTTTGCACGCCAAATCAGCCTATTAAAAAATCATAAGCACATCTCCCCATTGCAGAATATTATTTTCAATAGTTTCTCTCTAGTTGCTTTCTTTTTATTCTTACAGGTTTGTATTTCTTCACTTAAAAAAAAAAAAACTGTTTTTTTGTTTATCTGTTAATGGAAAGCTGATATTCTCACATAATCGTATGACCTGGGGAGCCAGAGACTTTGAGAAAGAGACAAACAAAATTCTGGTAAAAATGATGACAACTGACAAGGCAATGTAGCAAGATTCCAAATCTTCCCAGGCAGTTTCCAAGATACTACTAATACTGTAATAGTATAGTACTATGTGCTGTATGGTATATATTATATTTTACTAGGATTTCAATAATATCATTACATAGATTTGTTAAAATGGCTTTACCCTTTGCCTCAGTATCAGTTAACAGTTTTGTATTTCAAAGGTGTGTTTCCTTTTCACTATAGTAACTAATGCTGGCTGAAGTGAAAGGAGAGAAACACCCCAAGACACTTCTAATAGGCCTGTCTGCACCAGCACAAAGAAATACTGCATGTGTAAAAAATGTGACATGAGATAGTCTCACACCAGACAGTAATGATCAGTGTTTTTGACACTGATACATTTGCACTTAAGATGTGAACTTGAATGGCAGGAGATTTGAGCTTTTCAAAAGAGCAGATCTTGGTCTGATCATCCAATGATGCCTGATGGAAGACAAAACCACAAACATGCAGTCTTTGAGTTAGCAGGGAACAATGATTTCATATGAAATATCCCTCATGCCCAAGAATTTGGGTTTGAATGGTGGGCAATGGTTTTCGTATGGTCCTACTGTGTGTTTCAGCCCAGTGTGCACAGACTGCCTCTTTCCTGCAACTTCTGAAACAAGTTTCTGTGCAGTGTCTGGTCTTCCCCTTACTGCACTTTAAAAAAAAAGAAATTAAACACAGGGCCCTATTCAGCCAAAAATAACCCTTGCAGCTGTACTGCCTGAGCTCTGTGAGACTCTTGTTCTCTGAGGATATTTATACAATTCTTAAAGGGAAACTATCCCCTTTCAAGCAGTCACAGAGGAGGCTATAACACATAATGATGATCCCATCCAGCAGAGCTGTTGCTCTGTTCTATGTCACAGCAGAGAAAGTTGTGCCTGTCCACAGTATCCAAATCTCCTGGGCCTAAAAGGGAAGCAGAGAGAACTGGCTGGAAGTGGTTGTTACTTGGCCAAGAACTTTCTTTCTTGAGTAAGATAAATGTGAAGAGATTTATTTCATGCTCTGGTATTTCAACTGCCACTTCTGGACCTAGAATGTGGAGAAGTATGTGGATGGAAGAATCAATTTATAAGGTTTCATGGCAAAAATCTCACAATAAGGGTAAAAGGGGTGTGTGGGTGTGTCACCCTGCACACTTCCTCTTGATTTCCGGGAGCAGCTTAAAGGAAGAGAAAAGAGGGTATTTGTGACTTCCTTCCACCTGAGGCCAAGTGGGTTTTGTGCAGTTTCCATTTCCTTGTTTCTCAAGAGTTATTCTGCACATTTGTGAGAGAAGGGTTGAGGTGAGCGTTAGCAGTGGAATTAAATAATAAAATGTACAAAATACAGAATCAGGGAAAGCTTAAACGAGAGGAACTCTAAAGGTTATAAAGAGGATTCACTTTTCTCTTTCTGTTTGTTGGACAGTTTGTCCCCAGAGCTATGATATAGCCCACTGGCTATCATGCAGGAGTTTGCATGACATTCAGAGGTTTCCCACTGGAAGCACCTGGAACTGGAATAAGCCTGGTAAAAATGCACAACAGGTAACAGTAGATACCTTTAATCTCCTAAAGGAAATAACAAGTCCAATTTAAGATTTATTAGAAATAAAGAAGAACAAAACTTTTGAAATAATACCAGTTGCAGAGGTCAAAATATACCTCTACTTCAGAAAAAAAATATGTTAAGCCTATTATATGTTAATCATCTTTGTGAGGCTGTGGTTGAAGGAAACAGACTATTTGTTCAGTAACAAATTGTAAAAAATTTGTTCAGTAAAAAACTGTTCAGTAACCCCATAACAAATATCAGTGTCAGTTCAGAATTTTTGAATTTCCTTGTTGACACTTCTTTTAAGAATTAACTTAGACCAAAAGATGAGGATGCAAATATTTGATAATAAACAAAAATGTTGCTGGATTTTTGTGTTTTATTTTGGCTTATCTGTTGTGCATGTGTTTTCAACATTGATACTGGAGCTTGCTATGGCAAGAGAGCAAGTACAAACATACAATTTCATCTGACCAGTCTTCTGCAGTAAACTAGGAAAACCAGTAAATTATGCTGTATTTTATATCACTTACTAACAATTACATAATACAGTTTTTAATGTCATATTAAACCTGTATGGTTTGTTCCTCTAATGATGCCCTGAGTATTTGACAATGTTCTTTCGCATATGAGATAGGAACATACTGCTCAACAGGAAATGTGTTTAGCTCCATGCCTTCTCCAGTCTCCAGAGAAGTAGGGTCTCAACCCTTCAGCTAATTACTTCATAGATATAGCTCTTTAAATGTGTTTTAAGTTGTTTTTACATTACTTTATTCCCAAGGGCCTTTGGCAAGTAAGCTGCTGGTTTCTGCAACCTTGATTTAGTGAAAAAAAAAATTAGGCATGAGTTCAATGTGAAGCATACACGTAGTCTCACTGAGATAAATAAAAACTTTAGGGCAACAGGGGCCCTAACAGGGCCTCTATTAGTTATGCCTTGGTCTTCAAAGAAGATGCTAGATCCTTGATCTATACCAATTGGCAAAATGCTGGGGCTTAGTGGGCATTCTTAGCATCAACTTCCTTATTCCACAGTCCCAACTATTTCCTTAGGAGTATCTTGGACACCACAATAGCCAACTCAGTTCAATAAACATCCCACTGCGACTGTATAGTGGCTCACCTGTACTGCCCAGTGCAGAGCTGTTTTGAAGTCCTTGTCCACCAGAGTTGGGTCTGCTCCCTTGTGCAGCAGAGTCTGGGTGTGCTGGGGTCTGTTGTGGAATGCAGCCCAGTGGAGTGAAGTCATTCCCTGTAAGCCACAAACCCAGAGGGCAAATTATTGTCACTCACAAGAGCACCCTTCAACTCTCTGTAGATAAGCCAGGCAGCCCTGAAACTATCCAGGGTGGACAAATTCTTCCCTCCTCACCTTGATTTGAAACAGTAGCAGCTTCTGAATTAGTGGAGTCACAAGAGGAGGACAAAGCAATTAGCTTTTTGGAATTACTACAAAACATGGATACAAATACAGATGCTTACTCCATATACGTGCCTATAGCCTGTTATAAATAACGTGGTCATGGCCACAATGGCTGGGGGGACAGTTCTTCACTGCTCAGCTTGAATCCTGCAATAAAAGCCTGGTTTAGAATGCTGCTTTGGCATTACACAGCGTAATGTTTGTATTTGTTCTTGTCTTTGATCCAAAATAAGTATTATAAGCTATTACTGCAGCTGGCACTAGTCAGCAAGCTAAAGAACTTACAGAGTGATGTCCACAAAAAAGTCACAATATAAACATTTTATATGTACCCTTCAGGGAGAAACCAAAGAAAATGGTAAGGTATTCAGTTGCCTTTTCATTCCATCTTAGCTGCATCCAGTCAGTCTTAACAGATCAGAGAATTCATGGCCTATATTTGCACCTTCAGCATTGCTACTCTCACCTGCATTTTACCCCATATCCATAATAATTAAGATTTTCTGTATAAATTGATTAATTTATTATGTTTCTAACAAATTGCTAGTGTTTTTCAGGTGTGGTGACATTTTCCTTTTGGCCCATGTTGTTTTCTTTTACCAGAAAAAATGCATTTCAAGGGTCTTGCCTTATTTCTACAAGGATAAAAAGCATTTAACATAAAAACCAACCAACCAGCCAACCAACCAACCAACAAAAAAAAAGTTGAGTGGAAAAGCAATTAAAACTTGAAATAGAACCCCAAAAAAGCCAATTGTTAATAACCTAGATAAAGTATGAGCAACATTGATGCAGACAGCTTATCAGTGCATTAAAGTGGAAGCTGTTTGCAGTGATTTTCTGACTAAAAGCCTGAACACCTTAGCATTCATTTCTCTCACTCATCATGTATCTTTTAAGTCTTTTAAGCTCCCATGTGGCTTAAGTATGAGTGATAACAAAACAGAGCAGTTGAATGAGAGCAGTTTTGGTTTTAGTTAAGGTTTGCAAGGATTAATCATGGGGGTTTGGGTTTTGTAAAAGCAAAATTGAGGGTAAACTCCTGCACCAACTGAAATTAATGGGAGCTCTGCCACTGATGTCAGTAGACATGAGGGACTTAGTACTGTTAATGGACACACATTATCTGTGGGGCTTCAGTAAAGTGATTTCCAGCTGGGAAATGAGTACTGTCACTAGTCCTGGAAAACATGAAAATCACTGAAAGAGAAACTACAGTGTACCAGGCCGTCTTCCTGTCGTCCTCTGCCAGTGTGTTGATATGGCCAAAAAAAAAAAAACATTGAAAAATCAACTTTCTCTCTGTTTCTGCTGTGGTAGCCAGCAGAATCAGCGGTAACATAAGAGTGTAAAACTGTGGATAGTTTTAAAAATCTCTATAGTACAGTGACAAAACTCAGAGAGATCAGTAGCAGATGCTTAGTGCAAAAATATAAGAAACAAGGCTTGACATTATACTGCCACCTAATACATGGTAATCAGACTAAAGACTTCATATGATATCCAGCCCTCTAAAGAGTGATGATGCATTTTCAGAAAAAGTATTTATTTTCCTTTTATTTGAAATTATTGCCTGATAATTTTTGTAGAAGTCCCCATATTTTTATATGCAAAACCCCAGACCAGTAAATAGTAATTTTCTTTTCATTTCTATGCCATTTATGATACCATTTATGTCATTCTTCTGATGTAGTTGCCAAGTTGAAAGTCCTGTTATAGTTAGTTTGCTCTAGTTAGCCTGCCCGTGTAAGGAAGCTGCTCTATAACTATTATCATCTTTGTAGTCCTTCTTCTGTTCCTTTTCTCATGTATTTTTTCAGTTTACTCTTCTAGCCATATGGCTGTACAAAGGATTCAAACAGAGCTTCATGTTTTATTCTCGATTTCTTTTCTAATACTTTGTACATTGCATGTGTCCTTTCAGAGAGCCCAACAAAGCAAAGAGCATTGAGCTGTTTGCAGCAGCAGCTCAATCGTGTGGGCTTTCTGCACACACGGCTGCCTAGACCACACGGTCTGTGCTTTGTGCTACCACCCTTGAGTGGCATCTGTAGGTAGACAGACTACTGTTTGTTAGTGGAAGCATGAGAGTGGTACCAGAACTGACAAAGCTGAGGGTCCAGCAGAATACAATCTTAGAGGTGAGACAGCCAAACAATTGCACATTCATAAAAAATAAGGAGCAGTATGGGACATAAAAGGACAAGAAATACAGTGTGACACTTGTTTTGCTCAGATTCAAGGCTTTTACAGGGAATGTTTCTTCACATTGTCATCTCACAGGCTTCACTAATAAACCCACAGAAAGACAGTTGTGGAAGCTATGAAACCTCCAGATGCATTTCTTACTGTTTACGTGTTCATGCATTTGTCAGGGTGTTTTTCTCAAGTGTCAAATGGGAAAACTGAAGTGTTTTACTTATGCCAAGAGAACAGCTCTGTTAGTTGTAATCATTTATGAGGATCCACATTTTTCAGATAATGTGAGTATTCAGGGCTTAGTACTGACATTTGAACAAATATATTGTCAGTGCCAAATGACAATGAGATGGACTAAGAGTTCCAAATTGCATGTAGCAGTGCTTTACAGCAAAATACTATGGCTTGAAATAATGATCCACCGTTCCATGCAATTCATTAGCAACATAGTTCTACATTAAGGCAATGGACATGTCTGGTTTAGGATGTTGTGAGCAGGGTCTGAAAACCTTTCAGTAAGTAAGGAAGAGGAAAAATTAACAGCCCTCTGGCCATTTTGGCACTGTGGAAAAGAGACACATCCTTGAGCAATGAAACATATGAAAAGACACTCAGAATCTCTCTTGTGTCTTGGCTTCTCTATTTGGGGAAAAATGCATGGGAAGTTAACTCTTTCCTATGTACAATATATATACATGAAGGACACAATTCCATATGGAAGACAACAGCATGAATTTTTGTGCTTCCATGACTGTTCTGTGTAATGCCAGCTCTCTGATACTTTTCTTGAGAACAGTACTTGAATGATGGGATCAAGGAAACATTAAATCATAGAATGGCTTGGCTTGGAAGGGATCTTAAAGATCCTTTAAGATAGAAGCCTGCCATAGATAGAAGACACCTTCCATTAGATCAGGTTGCTCAGAGCTCCATCCAGCCTGGCCTTGAACACTTGTTATTGGTAAAGGTGAAGATTTTGTCCAGTGTCTAACTTCAGAAGAATTGAGGGCAATTATTGTCTTGACAAATGATTTAAGAGAAGGACTCAAGGTAACTCATAGTTGGCTGAATAGAGAAAAGCTTTATTAGCCTACAGGTGCATAGTATATAGAAGGAAGAATGAGATAATACTTTGCAGAGTTCAGCAAAAGCAATATAGAAATTTTTGACTAGTGCACAGCTTTGTTTTGAAATAGAATGGTTTCTATGCCTCCAGTGCCAAGGACTGTGACTTGTAGCACAAGCTCACTCACCTCATTGTCCTGGTGATTAATTTCACTAAGATTTGATTGCTGCAGAAGCAAGCTCAGAAGCCTGTGGAAGCAATGATATAATCAGTGTGCTGTATTCCTGACTAAACTTGAAAAACTGACAGTTTTTTAAAAAACAAAACGCACAATTTCATGAAAAATCAGCATTAGTGATGGACACAGGTCAGAATTTTAGGTATGAGCTTTGTCATATGAGCAAAACAAAATAGGATTTTATGGCTTATGGTAACAACAGAAGTTTAGAGCTTAGAATTAAAGGATCTACTCAGAATAACTGTTGTGCTGACTGCTAGACTAGATTCAGAATGTATAGTACTGTACATGTATGCATTTTGGTAGCTTAGCAATTTGCTGCCAATGTATTTTATGTCTTAAACAGAGATGCCAGCTTCTGTAAGGATTTTTCACTCTAACTCTCAGAGTAAAAGGATGTAGTGTACACATTTGTGTGCATATGTGTGCATATGCATACTTGCCATATGTTTACAGACACAAACCCCAATATTTTACAAGGCCTTACAGAATGTCTGATGGAAGAGGGCCATTATTATGGCATAAAACATAGCAATGTTTAGGTTCACATTTTATAGAATATTGGACTACAAAAACTCCCCTCTGGTGGAGGGAAAAATAAAATAGTTACATGAAATACTATTCAAGCACAATAATATTTTTAACACTTCATTTTCCTTTTGCGATGTTGTGAAGATGTTCTGAAGTCACTACTGGTTTAGCAAAGATGGTTGTTTTTTATAGCAGGATGCTAAGTGTTTGGGTCATGTACGTGGCTGGGCCATGGAATTGAAAAACACCATCCAATCACATGCTGTAACAAAGCCAATCCTAATATGAATGTACAGTTCTTAGGATTCTAGCAAAAGGAAGGATGTATCCTCAGTGGATCACTGTGCAAACCTGTGGCTCATCTGATGATGTGAATTTGCTAGAAACCTTCAGAACATGAAGAAGACATACTGTTTAGCAAGGAAAGTAAAAGATAATGAAGTATAAAGGAAAAAAAGCTGATAAATGTAAAGATGACACAGAAACAAATGTATAAAAACCTGTATCCATGCCCATGTAGAGGAGACTGAATGAAAATCTTTTGCTGCTTTCTATCTTCAACCACTTCTAGTGTTTTTTCTGGATTGAACTGTGCTCAGGTGTGTGCATTAGATTAAGCTGAGACTGTTTAATGTCAAATTTGTTCTTCCCTACCGGTAATAAAGAGCTAGCTATGTAAATTATTCAAAAGAAGATATTTACAGCTGCTTAGGGATGATTTTGACAATTCTGCAGTGAAAATCTTATTTATAAGTAACATCTTCCTCAGGTGTTTAAAGTCCAAATTTAGGAGCTCTTTTAAAGCAGAGTCCCTAAAAGGTGATGATTGGGAAGATCCCAGCACATGAATTGTGTTTAGACTTCAAATGCATTTGCACATGGATACAAATTCTTGTAGAAAAGAGGTGTCACACCTCTTTTTCTAAATAGAACCACATTGTAGGAACTCTGAAAAGGATGACACTAGGACTTGAGATTGGTTTGGTAGAAGTTTGTAAAAGTGAAGAAAGAGTCTGTTGTCATTTAGCAAAACTACTCAATCTCAGAAATTCAGTGTCTGAAAACAGGTGTTGGTAAATATCAACTAGCGAGGAAAAATAAAGTGAGATAACCATATTGTGCTTGCAAAACTCATTTATCATGTAGTTTTGTAATCTGATAAAGGGCTCTGTGATTCCACTCCAGATATGATCAATGACACCACTGTATGTGAAAGCAATCTAATTATTTGACCTGAAGCTTTAGCATCAACAAAATTTGACTCAGTTACACCATTAGACCATTATGGCGACTTAAGTGATACCATTTAAATATGCAGATACCCAGCAAAACAGCTGAGGTTTCTCTGTTATCTACTCTTGAAGGCATAGAACAGGAACAGATTCCCTTTTCCACCTTGCCCGTTAGGCTCTGTGGAGGCACTGGAGCACATAAATCAACTATCAAATCAATACATGAACTGTCTCTGTCTTTCCATGTTGCCTCCAGCACGTGAGTAGTGGACTGCCAGATCTCAAATTTAGCTGCAAAAGCATTTCACAACTGGCAATTGCATATTCTCTTTTGGCAGTAACATAGAATTCAAGGGACTGACAATGACCATGATGGGAAAACCAGGCTCTTGTGTGGGCTTGGGGCAAACCCAGTGGGAAGACAAGAAAAGAAAAACTGTGCACAGCCAAGAAAGGGCTGACTGTATCCTTGGAGAACATGAAAAACACTCAGGGGATCCAGTGTGCTCCTGGTTGAGAAGATTAGTGTTCCTTCTCAAGTAGCAATATGTGTGGTGTTGTACGAACATTGTCTTCTTTCTCATGTAGGCTTTGTTTAATGATAGTGACCTTTTTTGCAGAAATCTCAAATTATTCTCTCCAAGTGACACATGAAAAGCAAAGATAATGTGGAAAATGAGCAAAGCTGTTAAAAAAGGCTGGAGAACAAGATCAGCGGAAATGGCCAGATGTCTGGGCTGGTCTGATATGGTCACAGCAACAAAATCATAGACTCGGTGATTAAGTCACACAAACGTGTTGCATGTACTGAATGTTTTACCTGTTACCTTGTCTTCCTATACCTTCAGGCATGATTTACTTAGGGGAGTTTTTTGAGTGAATTTATTCAGATGTACAAATCAAAATTTATTAAACCTTCCTATTGTCACAGGCTGGAATCAGAAAAAGAGAATCTTTCTTAAGAGTTCTTGTGAAGACACTCTGTAGCTATTATTGTACCTTCAGTAAAAGTAGTTAAAAATGAGCCAGAACACAAATCCTTAACTTCCCCTTTATGGCTGGGGATTTTCAGAGAGGTTGTCTTGTGGAAAACTTTTCTCACATTTGCCACACTATTCAAGAGAAGTCCAGAGAAGGAGTCTTGTAATATTTCATGTGGGTAGGACAGAAAGTTAGTTGGGCAGGGGAAACGCAGGGTTTCAACCTCTAATTATTTTCTCTCCTCCAGCTATTTTGATATTAAAACAGGCTCCACACGTTACCCGGCCATCGACCTCTGGTACACAAGTGTTGCACAATGTTTTTCCTCCTCTCTACCCCCTTCACAGTAACCACTAAACACAGACTAAGGTTCCAAGTGTAGCTGTCACAGCTATTATTCCTGCTCTGGGCTCTCCTTGGGTTCCTGGATACCTGACTCAATCAGCGAAAGCTGGGCACATACCTCACGTCAGGCTCTGCGGTGGCAGCATGTAGCGGCAACCTCCCGTTTTTGTCAGGTATGTTCTGCTTAGCACCATTCCTGAGCAGGCTGACACAGCCCTCCAGCCAGCCCTAAAAAAAGAAATTGAAGCATATCAAAAAGGAAAGTCAAAAGTATAAGGCCAGATCTTTTCTTGTTGCTGCCGGCATTCACATGTGACTGTAATAATTTCTGTCAGCAGAGGAACTGCACTTTTTTGCCGCAGTAGAGGTTAATCAGCACTGAGAGTAGTTCCCCTTTGGAGTCTGTGTCTCAAACTACCTCAGTTGTTCATTTCTCTGATGAGGTTTAATTTACACTGTACTATTATTGTTTGTTTGTTTGTTTGTTTGTTTGTTTTGCCCGCAGCTGTGGCAAGCACTAACAGTGATTAAAAACCTACTAATTCCTGTATCACTAGCAAATGCTACACATATTCTTGCATGTGAATTCAATCATACTAGATTAAACCAAGAACATGAGCACTCAATCTGATTTTGTTTGTGATATTTTAGCAAGGATGGTAAATCAATGGTAAAAAGCTTTAGAGTGTGGTCTTACAAATGTTGGTGCAGAAGTTTGTATTAGTGGCAGTGTTAGACTGAAAATAGTACCGAAACAGATGGGATGAATCAGTTCTTGGACTAAAACCTTCTATTGATCACCTCAGCATAAAAGCAAGTAAACAGCCTGGTTGTGACCGCATAAATCTTTCAGCATATACTTAAGTCTGAAGAAAATCAAGCATGAGTTTAAATGATTTTTTAAAACCTCAGCAGGTAATTGATAAAGACCATTGCCTCCCATATGAGCTATTTTGGATTGGCATTATGAGCATTTCTGGGGAAAATGTGTGGAATGGTGGAATCAGAACAGCCCTGTTGGAGCTGATGGTGGATGTACAACGCATTCAAATGCCACACGCAGTCTTGACTGTGCAACTCTCCTGAATTCATTTGTCTGGACAGACATCACAGATGAATTCTCTCTGGACCTCTTGTTATATCCCTCACAGAAACAGAAATGGAAACTTAGAAGCCTGGGTGGTTTAAATCTTTTCCAGTCATTTAGTTTTTTCCAAAGAATATTTTTTCCCCTCTGGGAAAAGAGGAAGGAAAAAATAAGTGTGACATTTATTATGGGATATTTAAAAAAATATCTTGCAGAGGAAATGTTTGTTTTCAAGTAAGTGGGGCATGCTCCTTGCACTGGATGAGACTGCCTGTTTTGTTATTTTCTACACTTATTTTCTGGCTGAATATTGCATAGGTAAGCAGGAACATTATTTTTGTCCTGGAAGACAAATTTTCAGGAAGAAACTAGGTGCAAGGCATTTAATTAGGCTACCACAGTGTCTGTTTAAATGAGCTGGCAGTCATCCAGTGCAGTCATCCAGTGCAGCCATAGCTGCACACTCCTTCCTCCTTTCTGTCCAGTTAATAATGGAGGCCCAGTCTGCTCAGCTAACTTGGTCCCCACTTTCTCTCTGAAACCTGAATTACTTCCTGTAAGGAGTAGAAGACTAAGGAGAGGAGGACTGTCCTTGTTACTTCAGACAGATTCTGAAGTACAGTTCCTTTCCCAAATGTCTCAGTGGGATGTCTGCTTCTGGAGAAGCAGACTCTAACCAGAGTTTGGATGTCATTTGTGATGGATGCACTTGGCTCTAGGTGAACATGATCACTACTTCTTCCTCCAGCTTACCTTGTCAAGGAATGGAGAAGTATAGGCACAAAGCTAGTAAGACATTTATTTTTGAAGACAACTTCCTGGGCAGAAGAGGAATGGTTCAGAGAGTGGGCATTTTGTAGAAGGCAACAGTGAGTGCTTGTGTTCCTCCCTCTATGAGCTTACCCTGCTGGAGTTGCCCAGATCAGGGCACTGGATTATGATCTGGGCAAGTGCACCTGCACCTTCAGCACCTTGACCTTCAGTTCTCAACCTGGCCAAACAAAGTCAAGCACCACAGTGAAAAGAAGCCCTGGTTTGTGTGGTATGCAGGAACACATGCCTGCTGACCACCAGAATGTGAGATAGGAAAGCCCTCACCTGAGCATAAATATCTAATGCTGGCTAAGGGAGAAGTCAATCTGCATATTAAGAACAAGACAGGACTTTCAATGAACAAAAAAAAAAAAGTTTTTTTCTTGTGAGATCCTCATATCATGCACTTTTTTTATAAGCCAAAAGAGAAAGGACACTCTGACAGGAGTCTCTGAAAGGAGTCCTGATTCTCTTGTAATAATTATTGCTCCAGCTTTGCATTGTAGTAAAGTTTCAAAACCAATTCCACTGTTGTCTAAAACCAAATGTTTTGTGCTTTTTTTTTTTTTTTTTTTTTCCCCTGTAGTATAAGGAAAAGTCTTATTTGGTCTGCACATTTACTCCCTTCACTCCATCCTGGTGCCCCAAGTCTTGGTACCAAATAAGTTGCCAGAGATAAACTGGTACGTCCACAAGCATCTTGAGTATTAATATTGGCTCCCATCTTCAACAAAAGCTTCACTGTGTCAACCTGGCGTCCTGACACAGCATGCATCAAAGGTGTGCAACCTGGGGGAAGAAAGCCAGATTTATTTTACAATTTCATTGTGCCATGCCCATAAGATATAGTTTCTTACTTTCTAATGTTAACACTGGCAACTTAACAAATCCTTTCTCTGATGACTGTCCAATAGTTTTACTGAGCTTTTTTTAGTCAGGAAGTAACTTCTGTTGCAGTCACTGACCACTGATTTTAAAAAGAGCATGACTATATTAGCAAAAGCTTTGCCTCATTAACACTGCTTCTGGAGGGAAAAAGTGCTCTTCTGTTGATAAGTTCCCAAAATGAACTTTTGACTTTGTACACCATTTTGGAGGCTGATATTCTTCAGAATGACTAGTAGCCAGATGGTGCTTGTCTAATTTTTTCAAACCCCAGCTTCATTCTGTGTTTCTATTCAAATCACTTATCAAGTGTGATTGAAACACTAACCAAGCTATGTCCCTTGCAAAGGTATAAAAACGTGATTTGGCCCTATACGCAGAGAACGACTTAAGTGGAAGTCTGGATTTGCTCTAGGATATTTTATTTCCTGTTTTCATATAAACTTTTTTAATATCCTGAAAAAATTTTCTGTTTTGTAAAACCCCTGAAATTTACATTTAAACCTAATACTCAAATTTCTTTGTGAAGTATTGTATAATTTAATTGCTTCCTCTTCCTTCCATTCTGCTAACTGTTGAAAAACAGCAAGAGCTTTTCCTGCAGAATCTGGCAAAGCAATTTAAAATTACTAGTCTGGGAATAAACATGAGTATTAGAAACTGTAAGACTATTAGCAACTTCACATATAGTTAAAGAATAATTATTCTTACTGGATCCACTGAGATTGCTGAAGAAATGTGCAACTCAAGCTAAGATCATGCCAAGCCTGACAAATGTGCAGGATATGAGCTGTATGTTTTGTGCTGGAAAACTAGTCTTCAGTTACATTTGCATGGACAACCTAGGACATAAGTTAGTGCCAGAGCTGAAGTACTCCTGGCCAGTCCATCTCCACTTACTCCACCCACCATTCATACCTAGTCTTTCTCCCATTAAGGGGGGAACAGGGACCATTTTGTCTTGAGTAAATTTTCTCTACTAACCAGATGTTTTAAAGACATCAATTAGAATGCCTGGTTTAAAGTATAATTGGTAGCTTGGTAAAAGCTGTTAAACATTAGAAAAGACAGTGTTCATATGGAAGTTTTATAAGAAACTGACATTAAAAAAATACTTCTGACAAAACAAGTTGTCCTTGAGAACATCTTCCAGAGGTCTGTGGTCCTTACTCACTTAGGAAATAGATGCATATAAAACCCTGCCAATGTACAATGATTTGTAATAACATTAAATAGTAACTTGAACACAAAATGAGCACAGCCTGACAGATAAAACAGATCAGTTAGATAATTGCACATTTCAAACCAACCCTTTGGCAAAAAAATTACTTGACAAAACCATTCAAACCATGACTGTACACATACTATAAACTCTGTGTTAGAGATGTGCAGAGTGTATGTCATTTGGCATTGGTAAAAATATTCTTTTTCCTCCCCTGAAATGTCAACAGTTTCTCAGCATCTCCCTAAATAAGATAAACTAAATAAATGGTAAAGTACAGTCTAATCATAGCAAAGCAGCTTATTTGTAATCATATAAAAATATCTTACAATTACAGGGGGAAGGAATTATCCAAACTGTGCATTTCCAGTGGATGTTCCAAAGAGTAACTAAAATTTCCCATATTCTGCTACTAAATATACTTTGCTGAACACAAAAATGAGAATAAAAAAATGCAAAGTTTAATTTGCAAGCTGAAGCAACAGTTCTCCTGAGAACAAGCTCGGCCTTCATTTACCCTCTCTGTCACAAGACTCCAGGATGGAAGGATCCTCTCGGATCACTGCAGTCAGGGTGTTCACATCTCCATTAGCAGCTGCTTGGTAAACCACAGCCAAGTCGATCTCTTCTGCTGCATCAGCTGCAGAGAGGGAGCACATCCATGAGTAAACAGAGAGCAATTACAAAAGATAAACAGTGAAAATAATGACACTTGTCTGACTGAGTTTAAATGACTGTGTAACTTGGGGTGGAACAAAGTGTATCCAAACAGCACTGTGGTTTTCGTTAGTCATCTGAAACTTACTTTTCATCATAACTTCTTCCAAAAACTTTCAAACATAGACACTGAAAAGACTTAAGAAAAATTCTGTAAAGTTTCCACTTATTGCAAGAAATCATACTAACGTAACACAACTTGAGAAAAAAATGTAATAACTGAACTAGCTGATAATATTTCTGGCTGCACTTTTATGAGACAGGATGAAATCAGGACTCAGGTGTTTTCAATTTTACTATCTATGTACCAGTCTGAAGACTGAGGCTTTCCCTTCCCTGTAATGTCCAAGGGAATTCTCTCCTTGGGGAGTAAACTTATGGCAGCAATGGTTTGTGTTGATAATTCCTGCAAAAAGGAAAAGTGGACTATTGCTTTTAACTCAGAAGAGGTTTATTTTGTTTGGCAGCTAAAGTGTAAGTTATTATTTAAAGCAGATGCTTTGCAGGGCCTGTTCTGGAATATTCCTCAGACTTTTTCTAAAGAAATAATAGCAATGATTCTCTTCCCTTCTTCCATTTCCCTTCCTTTCAGACTGGTCATCCCATGCTCCACATGCATACATCTCCTTTAGCTTCAAGTAGACTATTAACTTCTTAATTCTAGGAGTCAGAAGAGTAGATTTTTTTGGTGCAGGGTCAAATCTGATGTAATGATAAAATGCTCTAGATATGTATTGTTGGTCAGAAACAGTCTCATGTTTCTGATTCTATCAACTCAAAAAGAAGTACAGCTGCAGTGAGCTGCAATGGCTGAGGCATTAACCCCATGCAATGTTGGGAATTAACCCCAGATGCCCCCAATGTTCAGTCACTGCCCTGACCCCTGTGGGGAGGGAAGGAGAATCAGAAAATAGTAAAGTTGGTTCGTTAAGATAACAGTTTAATAACTGAAATAACACATCATCATCATCATCATCACCACCACCATCAGAAGAGCAACATCATTAATAATTGTAAAAGGAGAGAGAGAGATGAATAAAACCCAAGAAAGGCAAGTGATGAACACAGTGCTTGCCACCTGCTGACTGACGCCCAGCCTGTCATGCTGCAGCTCCCCCCAGTTCATACCCTGGCCATGCCAGTCTGTGTGTGGAATATCCCTCTGGCAGGTCAGGTCAGTTCTCCTGGCCATGCTCCCCCAGGCATGCCAAGCTCTTGGGCACCTGCTTGCTGCAGAGCACAGGACACTGAAATGTTCTGGATTTAGGGTGAACACTAAGTAGGAACAACTAAAACAGTACTGTGTTTTCAACATTAGTCTCATTCTAAATGCAGAATACAAGCACTGTATTGGCTGCTAAGAAGAAAATTAACTCTTCCAGGCTAAACCAGGACAGGGTGAGAGCTATACAACGTATCACTTGTCCAGCCACTGCACTACCTTTTTAGCTGGAGAAAATGGCTATATCACACTAGAGAGCTGCTCAAAGGAAATACACATTAAGTGACTGGTGACTTATCTGTACTGTCAAACTTCTGGAGACAGCACGACTATGTAAGCTGTGCAGAAAAAAGGGAGATAGTTTAAAGAGCATTGAAAAGTTAAGAAGCTGTTATCATAATAAAATATTACATTATTTGTAACACATAGGTAGAAATATTTTAAACACTGCCATTATATTTTTTTGAGTGATAAAAGATCTTTAAATATTATTGTAAAATGTTAGCCACATTACTCATGTTGTGATCAGATGCTGTCTCAGATGAGTCTACACAAGCGCTCTATGTTGGGCTTCACAGCCTAGCCTAATTCTTCATGTGACCTTTCACTGGGTGCAATCAGTACTCTGGACTTCAAAATTTGGCTGCCATGGAAACACAATCTGCTCTTACCCTGGAATAGGTTAGTCTGTCAAAGCTGGAACTCTATGGGCTTGGGAAAATTAAAAAGCTGATGTTAATCTGCCTTTGCCACAGAGTCCCTCTCAATTTCTCCTCAACTAAAGAGAATCTGATTTATTTTCTTTCTTCTAAATGGCATTTTAAATTACACACTTAATAAAGTTTGTGAATAAAAATGTTGACTTGATTTTTATTCTGCTGAGGGGTCTGTTGCTGAGGCAACTGTTCATTTGGCTCAGAAGGTTTGTCCTGTGGGCCTGGGAGATACAGAGAGACAAGGAGTCGTTGCTGCCAAAGAGTCATCATCAGTGACTAGTACATGAAGAAAAAGAAGTGACCTTACCACTGGTACAGTTAGTAATACTTCCTTATTATGTCAGACCTGAAGATGCCCCTCACAATTGGTACACTTGGCAAAAACATGTTAATGACAAGCTCAGGCTGAGTGGTTGATAGCTTGTGTTGCTCCTCTTGTCCAGTCTCTGGAGAAACACAGGGGGTACCAGCCCTGGGCACTGACATGGCTTCTCTCACAGCTGCTGTTGTATACAGCTGTGCAAGTACTGTGTGGGAATGATACAGAGAAGATGCTTCTGGCACTGGAAAAGTGCTAGATGTACCAAGGCAGACAGTGAATCAAAGGTGCCCTCACCTCATTCAATGCATTACACATGTAAATTTTGTAGTCTTTTTTTTGCCTGGTAGGTACTGTTAAGTATTCCTGTTGTGAGTCAGGAGCAGAGAAATCTAGCCACAAAAGGGAAATCTCCATCTCCTGAGCAGAGCAGTTGCTTGCCTGGAGTGTGCTTTGGCAGGAAGATGAGGACAAGGGAGCAGTTCTTCATGTGGGTCTCTGAGTATCTCTGCCCTTTTTCGTCTAGGTTTTCTTTCCCTTTGCTTCTGCTGGGCTCAGTCTGCTTTACCCAGAGCAGTTATCCTTTTGTATAATGGGAAGTAAAACGATGGATGGATGGATGGTTAGATGGATGGATGGATGGATGGATTGACGGATGGAAAAGTGAATGAAGTTTTGCCCCTGCCTCTTCTTGCAGAACACAGGCTCCATTCCTGTTACAGGATGGTGGCATGAAGCCACAAGGATTCACACTTCCCCACCCATGAGTCCTAGCTGCCAGAGCAAGGACAGGCAGGTGGAGCAGGCTGTCACCCTGCCTGGGAGCCTGGGCCAGGAGGAATGGATGAGTGCTCATGCTGGGATTTGAATAAAGATGACCAACATGAATTCCATTTCTGTAGGGTGACAAAACTTCCCAGTGGGGTGTTTAGACCTGTATGATTGTGGATGGGGAGTGAGAAGGAAGACAATGACAGAGTTTGGATGTCATTTGTGATGGATGCACTTGGCTCTAGGTGAACATGATCACTACTTCTTCCTCCAGCTTACCTTGTCAAGGAATGGAGAAGTATAGGCACAAAGCTAGTAAGACATTTATTTTTGAAGACAACTTCCTGGGCAGAAGAGGAATGGTTCAGAGAGTGGGCATTTTGTAGAAGGCAACAGTGAGTGCTTGTGTTCCTCCCTCTATGAGCTTACCCTGCTGGAGGCTTGGCTGCGGCTGGGGCACAAACACCATATGGCAGAAAGGCATTGTGAACACCCAAATGCCTGACACTTCATCTTCTAATGTGTTAGAGTTACTCCATTATTATCTTGCAGCTCTATAAATGCCAGTAAGTACTGGTCCCATTTCAAATAAATTTTACATTTTAGAGAATTGCTGTGATACTGGTGAAAGGAAGCTGTCAGCCAGATTCAGAAAGACAGGAGATCCATTTAAGCACTTGAGTACAGAAAAAGGCAGAGAAGCTACAGGCTGACAGTAGTGGTGTAGAAAGGTTTGGAAGAAAATACTAAATGACACACAGGGTGGTGCTAAAATCCTCAGAAATAATCAAAGTTAAGCTGCAGTGTTTTAAGAATGTGTAATTTCTTCACAGCAAAGTAGTTTTCTTTTGGTCAGAAAAGGGGGTATATAAAAAGAGATAGAGAATGATCACAGGATTCAGAGCAATGAAATTGTGCTTCTCATTACATTAATTCTTCTGTGACTGTACTATGAAGAATATGTGTATTACATGATTTGTGATGTTGACTGATGTGTTGCTTTACAAAGTGCACATTATGTGTACATATGTGCATGCTTTTTAGTGCATTGGATTTTTAAGTTCTAAAGAAATATTCTTGAAGCTTAGAGTTTTAAGGTATTAAAAACTGAAGACAGAATAATAGGATAATTCATGTTCACTGTGAAGAAGAAATATTTATTTGTAAATATGTATTTTTTGTAAATATGTAATTTATTACCCTCTCTCTCATAACTTTCTCTTCTTGTCACCACTAGCCAAAGGCCATATATGATTTCCTACACCTTGTTGTCAGGACACAATACTGGGTAGCTTATTTGTTTTCAGCATGTCAGTGTCAATGGTCTGTGGGAGGTGGATGAGTGCAGTTTTTGAAAACTGTAACTTACTCTCTACTACTGCATTTTTATTGAACACTTAGCAAAGTAATAATCACTGTGTGTGCCTGGCAGTGCATGCACCAGTAAAGGCCTCTGTCTGGCTTCTCTGTTTATTTAATAAGCATCTGAAATCAGGAGCAGCACATATTTATTTAAATGGCACCAAGGAATATTAGGAGGGAAGGGGTTTCTGGTACTGCTTGCCTTCTGTAAGTCCCACATTCCTGTTACTATTTTAAGTATTATAAGATATTATTAAGCAGTACCATAAGATGTGTTGCAAAGAGACAGTATGATTTTCAAGCTTGGAATGCTGGGGATTTATTTTCTTTTATAGTTGGGAGAGTCTTCTGATGTGTGGGATGGAGGAGAAAGGGTTTGTTGGGAAAGCTGAATTATCTTTCAGACCAACAGAGAGAAATTTAGTGTGTTTGAAAGATAGTTTGTATTCTTCCACTGTTATAAATTTCTGCAATGAATGACATTCCCTTTCTACTTGCTAAAATAATTATACCTGCTCAAATCAATAATGTGCCAACACATTACGATGGCATTTAGACAAAATCCACTATACACTGTAAGTTTTGAATAGAGTGTTCTTTGCATGGTAACCAATGAGCTTGGTATCCCATTACTGTGTGTTTTGTGCTCCTGCTCCCCATCCACCTCCCACGCAGCTAGCACGGAGGGCATACAGTAAATCACAAATCACCTAATGAGTAAGCATTCCTGCAGCACCAGTGAAGCAGAGATGATGTATGTATAGTTAAGGGACCTTCTGGAAGGGGAGTTGATGTAGGTGGAGAGTGACACAGGCTGCAGGTGATGCTGGACAGAAATTGGGATGGGTCACTGTGGAGGGTGGCCTGGCAGCAGGAGGGGGTGCAGATTAGAAGCAAGGGCAGATGTTGCTTTCCAATTCTGTCCCTTCTATCTGGACAAACTGGTTTGGGTCCATGGTCTTCTGCATTGCTTTCTGCCACCTAAACTATCTGAGGATTTGGCTTTGTCTTCCCCAGCCCTGGTGATATTCCAGCCTCATTCCTGGCACCACTTCCATTGGCTCCCTGGCAGACATCCAGATGGCACTGAGCATGCACAGTTTTACCTCTTCATCCCCACTCTGAGCCCTGCTGGGTCGGCATGTGGCACAGAGGATACTCAGTGCTGCAGAAGCAGAGGCTGGAATGGCTGTCTGGAGCTGCAGAAGCTCCATGCCTCTGTCCTGTTGGGAAAAATGCTCCTTACATCATTCTCGCATGATTTAGGAATACTTGTCTCTTTTCCTGCAGTACAGATCCCCCTTCTACCGCTGCACTTCCCTTTATCCTTTACACTTGTTGGTGTTAGTTTTTTCCTCTTGTCACTCAGTTTTACTTCCCACTCATCCCCTGCTACATGGGGGTTCCAGCTGGGTTGATGCAGACCAGTACTTCAATACTTGCTCAGGTTTTAAGTGCTACTGTGGCTGAAAGGCAGCCACAAACCCAACACTTTATATGGGCTGTATTCACTCTGGGTTCACCAAAGAAGTGTAGACAAGCAGTAAAGTATAACCTGTAGCACTCAGCTACAAAGGGCAGTGCCTTGTCTTCCTCCTGCTTTCATTTCTGTTCCACAGTCAGCTCCTTTGTTGTGGGGCCTCTGTGGTCATGTGTCACCTCAGATATTTTGCAGGTCTGCACTGGGACTGTGACCACTGCACACATATTGTTTGGTAAGCCAGCTTAAAAGAGAAATTGGTTGCAACAGGTGTAATGAAGCAATGACAGCATCCTGCTTTGGGAACATAAAAGGAATGCCACTACACTTATAGTGGATTAAACCGTAAGACATAGCAGCTTTTACTGACAAATAAAGACATGAAATTTAACATTTAACTTCAAAATAGACAAGAAAGAGACATTTGTATTTCCATAGCAACCTTACAATGTAGAAAATCTTCATGTTGGGAATTTTAGTGGTATCTTAAATTTGCAATTATGGCAATACTTACCTATACTGATAAATTTCCCAAAGCAAAGTATTTCCCTTGTCAGCTTCTAGTCCTTTTAGTGTAGACTTATGAAAACCAGCTGTTTTAAATTTTTTTACTCCATTTTGAACGGCTCTGTTTGCTAGTACTGCAACTGTTTTTAATATCTATAACAAGACCAATATACAAATTAAAAATAAATATATTTACATCTCTCAGTGCTAACCATAAGAGTAGCCAAACGCTGTTTCTGTTCTGCTGAAAATTAATTTTTAGAAATCGCTGTAGCAATAGACTGAAATATCCATCCAGTCTAAAACTGATGGAAGAAATTCCTTTACATGAAACTAAAACAAACCTAATCTTTCCCAAAAATTCATGTTATTGATTCTGTCAAGTAATCTCAGTACATTTGCATGGGACGTATTGGAATACCAGAGGATTTTGAAATTAGTAGCACCTGACTTACCTTTGTGCTGGTCAAACACGGATGAGGAACTGAAATCCATTGTGATCTATCTCATTATTTACAACCAGACCAGACAAATGCCACCTCCAGGGTTTTCAGGGCAGAATCTCATATATTACAGTACACAGTGAAACGACAACTGTCACCGACCGGTCTTCCTCTCAGAGAATTAAAGTCGCTTTACGGCTGCAGGTTGTTGCCACGACAAGACCCTGATGGAAACATTATATTCTATTATGGACTCCCTGCAAAGGAAATGCCATGTCCTCAGCCAGGGGAGAGCCGGCGAGCAGCAGCTCCCGCAGCGCGGGCAGCGTGAGGGGCCCGGGCCGGCACGGAGCATGTGCAGAGCCCCGGCGGGCACCCACCGCGGCCTGCGGCCCGCTGCGCGCCCCGCCTGCGCCTGGACAAAGGATGCCTCCGGGTTCCCCCTGAATGAGCACGGAGCCGAGAGCACAATCCGCAGGGGCCTCCCTGCCTTAGTTTGGTACCAACCAGCTACAGTTAGTTAAGGGACAGTGCAGGGACAGCAAACGACTGCGGCTAAATCGGACAGTGTTACCCTCGACAGCACAGTGCAGCGAACACACGGTGCACATCTGTGCTGGTTTTGGCTGTGGTAGGATTTATTTCCTTCAAAGCAGTGCTATGGGGCTGTGGTGTGGATTTGCTGGAAACAGTATTGGTAATACAGGGATGTTTTGGCTCTCCCTGCGCAGTGCTCACACAGTGTCCCACCAGCCAGGAGGCTGGGAGAGGTCACAAGGAGTTGGGAGGGGACACAGCCAGGGCAGCTGCCCACAAATGAATACAGGAGTATCCCATTCCATGTGGTGGCATGCTCAGTGTACCAAGCTGGAGGAAGAAGGAGGGAGGAGATGTTCGGAGTGATGGTGTTTGTCTTCCTAAATCACAGTTGTGTGTGTTGGAGCCTTCTTGTCCTGGGGATGGCTGAACACCTGCCTGCCCATGGAAAGTGGTGAATAAATCCCTTGTTTTGCTTTGCTGTGCATGCAGCTTTTGCTTTCCCTATTAAACTGTCTCTAACTCAACCAAGGAGTTAATTCACTTTTATTCCTCCCCCATCCCACTGTGGACTGCATGGGGCTGAGCTGCTGGCTTAGATTAAACCATGGCAACAGGGGATGTCAGACCCAGGGTCCATAACTTTAAATCCAGTATCTACCAAAGTGTCTTCACCCTTGGTTTTTGATCAGACCTCTGCCTTCCTAAGTTGAGAACTCAGACCTTGTACTTTAAGGGGAGGGGACCCTGGTGAGCTTTGCTTTTTGCTACGTTATTTCTATGAAAGAAATAATAATAAATGTACTGACTTGGTATTTACCTTGAAAACTAAATTACCAGCACTGACTTGTGAATGGGAGGCGTATAAGTTTATTCAGCTCTGATGTGCTGAAAGAGACACATCATTACTGCTAAGGAAGACAAAGTAGTATATGAAACTTAGGAAAGGCAAGATACTTTGGGTCCAAAAATGCAGACAGGACCTGCACTAAAGCTATGCCTATGTTTGTTCAGCCTAAGAAGCCCCTACACTTTATTTACTGTGTTTATTCTAGTCTGGTGTTTTGACCAATTCCTATGACTATAGCACATCATAGAGACATACCCTACATGTGGATACACCATGAATTGTATCTGGAGCTCATTCACATCCAAGCACCTGCTTCTGAACATAAATTCAAACTGTGTGTTTGGGAAAGGATCGTACAGTCCAGGAAGCAACACAGACTCAACAGCTTGAAATGAAACACCAGAGCTGAAACTCTCCAGAATGTGGCATTGTGATCTGCTGATCTTATTAGCTGTGAAGAGGCATGTGGTAGGACAGAGGATCCAGAGACAGGCTGTTTCTCTTTTCTGTACTGCTCATGCTCTTGTGGTTTGCCTTGTCTCATGCCCAACCTTGTTATACTGAGAAGGGACCCACCGTGTGGCAAGTGCTGTCTATGCATGGGGAGCAGAGTATTACTCATGCAGATGGTCAGCTGCTAACTGGCATCTCCTCGATGGGAGGGTGGCTCCAGGGGTGGCATCAGCAGGTGGAGTTTAGTCTAGTCTAGTCTAATAGACCGACTGTTCAAACAGCTACCACAGCTGCTGACTTCATGGAGGAGTCACTGGAGACATATCTCTGGTCAGGAATTTTGACCTGCAAATTGTCACCCCTAGTGATCTTTGAAAAATCACAAGAGTGACCTTTGCTTTCTGCATGTGACAAGAGTCCCTTTGTCCTCTGTGTACACAGGATTTCTGGCCCTGGGCACTGCTGCTGGATTCCCCACCCTCCTCTACCTAATTCAGTCAATTCATTACTCACAGTTTTACCAGCCCATTTGCTGTTACTGGGTCCTTGTCCTTTCATTCTGCTCCTGAGATGAAGGTGGTAGGCTTTGGGGATTACTGGTTCAGTCTCACTCTTGCAGTACATTAGCCTGGGAATGAGGCGCACTGTAGGTATACAAACAGGGAATTTGGGGGAGAATCACATGGCAGCTGATTCCTTCTGGGTCCCACTTGTGGCATAATATTCCCTATAGCACTGTGTACATTTGCCTGAGGCTTAGTTTGCTTTCAGCTACATGAAAGCCAGGCATGTCCTCCGAGACAGATGTCCACACCTGCCATGGTGTCATGCACTGAAAACCATGGTGTCTTCTGTGTTTGAGATGTGGCATCTTCTCCCCTCCGCATCCATCAGAAGGGAAGTAAGGCCAATGCTTTAGCAAAACACCCTTCCCCATGTAGATCTGAGCACCAGGTGAACATGGTTCTGTGCCTCAGCTATGGTAGATATATCTCAGCTCAGATGCTGCCAAAAAAGCTGACATTTGGGAGGTGGGCTTGAGTCACTGACTTTCTGTATTGCTCCAGTAGAAGAAATAATTGTCTCAAAATTCCTTATGGCCTCCTGTGTGTGGTGCCCATGAAAGCAGCTCTGGCTAAGGACAACAAAGCCACAAGACTTAGAAGTTAGTACAGGCAGCAGATAAAGATTGTAGCTTTGATATTGTTAATTTACATTATTCTTTAATTTAAGCAAAGGATTCCTGACTTTTTATTCTGTCAGAGGTAGTTCAGTTTTTGGAAAGTTTTCTTGTGGTCCAGAGAAATGATAAAGAGAGAGGATTAGAAACACTGGCATTCTTTTTGCATGTTTGTTTGCCCATATTTGCATCAGTGTTTTGTTGTATGTGGGGTAGTTAACTCTCTTCCTTCTAATTGTTGTTCATTAGGTGAATGCAAAAGCTGTGGTGAAACCACAGAGAGTGGGTGAGACATATATTCAAGTGCTATGTGAATGTTATTTGCTGGGCGCAGTGCAGAGGCTGAGAGCTCATGGGTGCTTACAGCTGACAGCTCCTGCTCTGTGCCACACTGCCAACACAAGCAGAGACTCAGCTTGCGGATCTCTTCTCGGTGAGGACACTGGCAAGTGAGCAAGGGTTTTGTATCCATTTGACGCAATGACACAGCCAATGCTTTAGACGAAGGATGGAGCCTCTCCTCTTGCAAAGCGCCTGGAGCAGCAGTGCCCCTGTCTGGTACGGAGCTCTTCCAGCAGCCAGCACTGCAGACGCAGCGGCTCCAGCCGTAAATTGTGCTTCCCTGCTTTCTTCATGGGCGTGTCACAAGCCTGAATGTTCACACCCTCAGTATTGCTTGGTAAGCATGCAGTCGAGACAAGGGAAATCAAAATTAACAGAGGGGCGCCATCAACCTTCATTTCCAGTTTTTATTTGAAATCCACTAGTAATAATTTGGTTGATAAGCTTTTAAAATACAATTCTATGTACCTTTTAAAGAGCAATACTAACTCCTCATATGAGTTCGAGCTCCATCAGTTTCTGTCTGGAAGGTTAGCACCAAGCTCAGGCATGTGGAGAAGTCAGACCACTAACTCGGCAGAAGGAGTCAGCTGTGCTTGCTGGTGGGAACTGATCTAGGATGCTCTAAGCAAACAAGATCTCTCTTGAAATGTCACCAGATAAATAGTGACTAGAGAAAGGAGAATAAAGTCACAGCTATATCTTATAACATTTACCTGCATGGAATGTAAGACATTGCTACTTTGCTCCCTGTTTTTTATGGCCAAATACATCTTCTGCTCAGTTAATATGACTTTTTGCCCTTGACTTCGATGTGGTCAGGGCATCTCTTGTGGTGTGACTTAGTGTGATATCAATAGCACCCTGTGAAACAAATTTACTAACAAGCCAATATGCTTGAAAGTCCTCTCTATGGACTGCTAAACAATTACTGGGTTTAGAGGTATTGTTTTTCCAAAGGATAATCTAATTATAATTAACTAAACCAAATTATATCTTTTTTCTAAGAGTGATTGTTGTGCCCACTTCAGAAGGAGTAGGGAATCTCTTACTGAGCTTATCACCCTAACCATGCTCTAGCCTTCTCATTACACTCACTCCAAAAACTTCCTCATGATATTCCAGGTGTAAAACTGCATTCAGTGCCTCTGGCATGGTATAAGGCTGGTCTGATGAGTCTGTCAGAGTGCTTGAGCCAGACATGCCTGTGGAGGAGCAGATGGGATGGGGGTGGGTGTGGAGACCTGCTGAGTCAGGGGAGTCACAGTGCTGGTGTGTCTGTCCTGGGTACACACCCTGTCCGTGACACCAGCGAGCTGGAGATGGGGAATGACACTTTTGTGGTGTTACACTGGTAAAGAGAAATTTCTGTGCAAATCCTCTATTTTCTATTTATGTTAAAGAAATTCTGTTATAGTTTATTCTACAAGATAATATAAGGGAAAAAAAACCAAAAACAAACAAGTGTTTGTTCCAGGTCAGATCAAATGTTCTCCTAGCCAGGTAACCAGTGTTTGAATGGCACTCACCAGCAGCTGTCTGGTAACCTGCAGGACAAGTGTGTAGTGAATGACATTTCCTCGGGACACTCTCCTGGTCTCCAGTCGTTTTCAGACTCCTGCAGAGTGGAATCTCCAAGGCAGTGCTGTGATTCTGCGGAGTTCCAGAAGGTGGTGGTCTGGGATCAGCACTTGGCTCCACGAACCAGCAGCAGCAGCTCTTTGTAGAAACATTTATTTTACTTTCCATTAAATCCTTTTAAATGGAGGAAGAGTTCATTTGTGGGAAATCAGTAATCTCTGACCTTATGCAGTGCATTAAGAATGCCTGCAAATTAATGAAGTCCCATTCCAGATATCAAGTAACAGTATAGAGCATGACTAATCATCTATGAATGGTAAGCT